CACTGGACGCTTACGCACACAGAGCTGCCCCGTGGCGTAAGGCAGATCAGCTTTTTGTTTGTTTTTGGTCCGCCAAAGAAAGGATCTCCGGCGACCAAGCAGACAATGAGTAGGTGGGTGGTCGAGGCCATCTCACTAGCCTACGAGTCCTCTGGCCTCCCGTCACTTATGGGGGTCAGAGCACACTCGACCAGGAGTATGGCGGCCTCCAAGGCTTTCAACTTGGGTGTGGCCTTGCAGGACATTTGTGCTGCGGCGGGCTGGTCCTCTCCGCACACTTTTGTCCGCTTTTACAACCTAGACCTGGCATCTACCCCAGGTTCCCAAGTTCTCTCTTCTTGATGTGCTCGCAAGATACACACACAGGCAGGGACTTGGTAGTATGGCGCAGTGGGTATTCTCGTTCCCAAGGCGATCTCGACGCAGCTCGAGTTCCTGAAGGGGAACGTCTCTAGGTTACGTTTGTAACCATGGTTCCCGGAGGGAACGAGATGCTGCGTCTCTTTGCCATACTCCCTGTATCCCTCCAGGCGCTACTTCATCGAAGCTAACTTGCGCTCTGCCGGATGCGCTTTTATACTTCCTGGCGCTCACGTCACCCCGCACGTGACGTCTCGCTGCTCCATTGGACTGATTTCACACGTGCTTCAGAACCCGGTCATGCAGGGGCATTCCCAAAGCGATCTCGACGCAGCGTCTCGTTCCCTCGGGGAACCATGGTTACATACGTAACCTAGAGACGTTATGTTTAATTATTTGCTAATAACATCTAGCCAGTTCATAAAAATAAGTTAGACATTTGTCGTACATGCACACGAATATGGACATTAACACAAAGACATTCTTACAAACATTGTTTGCAAGATGAGCGCATTAAATCTAGAGGGTCTGGCTCTGTACCTTCTATAATCCTTGGTTTTGGACACTCATTATAGGGCCTGACACCGCGCTCATGTACTCGTACTTATACTCATTAAAATGCTCTGATACCACACAATGTGTCAACAGTGCTGTGCCAAAAGTAACACCGACAACAGAACAACAGAGAGTAGAATGGAGTTATCAGAGATTAATGAAGTAACAGAAATGTCTATGAAGTACAAGCATTTAATTATATAAATATAATGTTAAAAATTCAATATTCATGCCTGTAGCTGATGTGCACGAGCTGATAAGCAAAGCACGCTGAGTAGAAATGTCAAAAAGCAAAAGCAAATACGAAACAATTACTAAAGTTACTTGACAGTAAGGAGAGAGAAAGATAGAGCGAGGGAGGGAGAGTGTGCGCACTTGTGTTGCATGATCTTGATTGCTCTTCGCTCACTTAGCACACACATCATTTGGATTAAAATTAAATCGTGAATACAAAACAAACAAAATTTATAATGGCATTCACTATAAACAACATATTTATTTAAAGTGAAAGTGAAACTAGTAGCCTGTGTGAAATGTGCTTTACATGTGCTAGGTTTCTGTACCCAATATTTTCAAAAAATTACAAATGTTTTGAAAATACAGGTATCGGTAGCAGTATCGGCAAGTACCAAAAATAAAAGTATTGTATCTTACTCGTTCTGGAAAAAGTGGTATCGGTGCATCCCTACAGTTATCTTTCTCTCTCCAGTAGTGTTTTATCATATGCATTACCCTCATAATGGGATATACATATCCCTGCAAGCTGGACAGAAAGCGCACACCCTCAATCACACACACAAACACATGCTCTCACACATCCCTGATCATGCCTACCTCTTGTGTTGGTTGCCGTATCCGCCACCTTCTGAAAGGCATCCAGAAATGCCACTGCTGCTAAAACCGTGGTTCTGAAACGCACAAAACCAATGGAATAAATTGATGACAATTTTATTTTCTCATTCAATAAAACCTTCCTCACATGACAGGTGTGGATGTGAGCCAGAGACTGAACTTACCGGAGTTGAGAGTGCAGCTTGGTGGCCTTGGCACTGAAGTCTTCCCAGACAGGATATGAACACTGCAAAAGAACAAAGACACAAGGTGAGCTGTGAATGTGCACTTTGTGTAAGTATGTGTTCAACGTACAAGCAGTAAATGTGTCATTTTTAGGTTCAGTACATTGCTCATACACTATCTTTCAAAATTTAGAAGCTGTAAGTTTTTTTGTTTTTTGTCTCTTGTGCTCACCAAGGCTGCATTTATATGATAAAAAATGCAGTAAAACAGTAATATTATTGTCAGGGAACTGGAAGAGAGATGAAGTGATGACTCAAATGCAGGATGAAATGGGCATTTATTAATGGGAAAAAAACTAAACAAAAACAAACAAAAACTACCCCAAGAGGGAAAAACAGGTAGGCAGGCCAGGACAGGGCCCGCGTGGCGGAACCTGTGGAGCTGAAGCCCTCCAGGGCGGAGCATGCGGAGCTGAAGCCCTCAAGGGCAGAGCTGAAGTCCACCACAGCCAAGCGGGCATTACTGAAGATCCCCATGGTGGAGCAGATGACCACCACAGCAAAGCAGATGGGAGAGAGGGCCACCATGCTGGATCAGGTGGAGCTGGAGACCAACTCATTGGTGCAGGTGGGGCTGAAGACCACCACAGTGGCGCTGCAGACCACCACAGCAGCACAGGCAGAGCTCCTGACCACCATGGCTGAGCAGACCCACGGGCCGGAGTATGCTCTGGAGTGGACTCTGAAGGCTACTGGACTGGAGCAGGTTCTTGAGCGGATTCTGAGAGCTCCTGGGCTGGAGCAGGCTTTGGAGTGGATTCTGAAGGCTTCTGGACTGGAGCAGGTTCTTGATTGGACTCCGAGAGCTCCTGGACTGGAGCAGGCTCTGGAGTGGACTCTGAAGGGTCCTGGACTGGAGCAGGTTCTTGAGCAGATTCTGAGAGCTCCTGGGCTGGAGCAGGCTCTTGAGTGGATTCTGAAGGATCCCGGCCTGGAGCAGATTCTTGAGTGGACTCTGAAGCAGGGTCCTGGGCAGCCGGAGTGAACTCCGAAGTGGCCCATGCCTGCAGAACAGCCCTTAGGTGAAAGGCAAAGACAGCCTTCCTGACGCTGGCAGCAGCATTGAAATCGGGCAGCTCTGTAGCGGCCTCCATGGCCAAGACAAGGAGAGCGGGCTGCACAGTGATGGCCTTCGTGGCGGCAGCAGTGAAATTGGGCTGTTCTGTGGCAGGCTGTTCTGGGGTGGGTAGCTCAGGGACTTCCAAAACTACTGAACTAAGGACCACCTGAGTCGGGTCCTCCAGGACCACCGGACTAGGGACCACCGGATTTGGGTCTTCCAGGACCACTGAACTAGCAGCCATTTTGTCGAGAGGCTCTGGAAAGGCAGCCATGACGGACCGAAATTCTGGAGTGGCGGCCATGACGGGACGAGACTCTGGAGTGGCAGCCATGACAGGACAAGACTCTGGAATGGTGGCCATGACGGGAAAAGACACCTCTGAAAGTCCACAAATGCCCCAAAAGACAGGTGTTGCTTGCCAACCCTCCTCCAGGTACTGATGGGCTCATCAAGGGCATAGGTAAACAGGTCCTTGAGAGCCACATCGTTGTAGCCCAGCCCCTCCGAAGCACTCCAAAACTCGAATTCCCTCAAATCAGTCCCCCATTGCTTTAGGGAACTCAAGGCCTCCACTTGAAGCATACGTTGATAGAGGGGGCTGCTGGTAGTGAAGGCTGGTAGCTGGAGTGAGCCCTTCATCTGCGGAGTCCTCATCTGGGCTAGTTCGTTCTGTCAGGGAACTGGAAGAGAGATGAAGCGAGGACTCAAATGCAGGATGAAATGGGCATTTAATAATGGGAAAAAAAAACAAAAAATTAACAAAAACTACCCCAAAGGGGAAAAACAGGAAGGCAGGCCAGGCCAGGACAGGGCACAGCACAGCACAGCACAGCACGGCACGGCACGGCACGGCAAGGCAAGGCAGGGCAACACTACACATACAACAACGACACTCAGACATAATACATTAAACAACGAACCAGCACAGGACTGCAGACACAAGGAGAATAATTAGGGAGACAAATTAGGAGGGTAACAAGGGAGACACAGGTGAAGTAACTAAAACAATAATGAGATAACAAGAAGGGCGGGGTCAGACAATAGACAGGAGAGCACATGGCACCAACAACAAACAACAAGCCATGCGCTCAACAAAACACAGTGACATCTGGTGGCCAACTAGGGCACACCAGCAGAACCGTGACAATTATGAAATATTATTGAAATTTAAAAATAACAGTTTTCTATTTTTATACATTTTTTAAAATGTAATTTTTTTACAGTATCATTACTTCAGTCTTCAGTGTCACATGAAGATCCTTAAAAAAATCATTCTAATATGCTGATTTGCTGCTCAAGAAACATTTCTTTATCAGTTTTATTCAACACAATCAGTGTTGAAAACAGTTGTGCTGCTAAATATTTTTTGGTTGAAACTGATACATTTTGATGATTCTTTGACAAATAGAAAGAACAGCATTAATTTGAAATAGAGACATTTTGTAACATTATAAATGTCTTTAATGTCACTTTTCATCAATTTAATGTCCTCTTGCTGTGCTATCAGTAAGAATACAACTAGAGGTCAATGTGAATATATTTAATGAAGTATGTGTAGTAATTGCAGCAGGATTTTAGCAATAGATGAAAAGAACTGTAGTCATGGGCACTGTTACAAACGTGTGTGTGTGCGTGTGTGTGTGTGTGTGTGTGTGTGTGTGTGTGTATCTATATGGATATGATAATTTGGGGGGATGTGGTTTGTCCTGGGGCAGGAATGGGAGTGTCGTCCGGCGATAAGGGGACGAGCCATGTACATTTCTGCCCAGTTGCCACGGAAACGCAGCAGACGAAGTATTCGGTGTGACGTCTGCTTTACAACAGGCCACAGGCTAAATGCAATATCACAGTAGTCAAGCAGAAACTAACAAGTATGACGACTAGTACACACAATCTTGTGACTGTCATCCTAAGCCGTAATGGTGTTTTTCTCTCTCAAAATCACTTCAATAAGAATCTTGCTTCTAAAACATTCAAACTATTATTTTTATACACATTTTTCTGATACTAAATGTAATCCTTAAATTGGACTGAAATTTAGCACTTGAATTCAGTAAAACATTTTGCTAAATTTTGCAAAACATTATCATAATAACAAACATGGTACATACTATGGTTTTTGGACATGATATTATGGTATGGTTTTTGGCCATGACAAAATGTTCACTTAAAAATTAGCTTCATGTTGCAACAACTACATTAATTTTATTCAAATTACTGAATCAACCCAAATATATTAGGTTACACCAACAAAACTAAGTTTTATGGTAGGATCAGGTAGAAACAGTTCTTTCTAGTAACAATTGCACATTGCCACATTTTACAGTGTGGTATGAGGTTGATACTGTAATCTGCTCCCAAAATATTAGCAATGTCATGAAGTATCACCTTGTTAGGTCAATGTTAAGTATGTTTTTGAGACATTTAACCCAAGAATCTCCTACTATTATCAATCTTCACTGAACATACTAAACAACATCATTTTGTGATCTCACTATCACCGTTGCATCTCCAATTCCAGCTCTTCTTACAGTATCCCCATGTACCTGTGGCACTGCTGGTGAAGCAGCTTTTGACCACAGCTGTCTTTGTTAGCTTCTTAAGACCGCTAAGCTCAGTTGAGCTTTGAGCAGGGCAGATTCAGACTGCTGTGTGTCAAGGGATGAAATTAGCCGCACTTCAGAGCATAGCTGGAGGTCAAGATTGTGCTCAGCAACTGGAAAAAGACCCGTCCCCTTCCTCATACATCCAAACACTACTCAGCAAAATCTGCCCCTGTGCCATCTCTCACCTTGCCCCACAGTCAAAAGAAGCAAGAACGATTTTGAAATAGAGAGAAAATGAACTGACACATGGGGACCAGCAAAATGCATAGCCTAACACACTGTTTGGATGGGATTTGTTTCATATATGGCATCAGAGTTACTATTTTTATGCATAATGTCTGTCATTTCATTTACTGAATCGAACAGAATAGGGATGTCTAAATTTTACTGAGGTGGGAGTGTCTGTTGTCTGGATGTAGAATAAGGAATTGTATTATAACATTATTACAAACAAGTAATAAAAGTAATAAAAACAAGTCAATAAATAAGCAGTCTCTCTTAATTATTTTTAGCATGGGATGTCAGCAGTACTGCTATTTTACTCAAAAAGCTGGCAAAAAAAGTATTGGCATAATTCATTTTAAAAATGTTTAGCTTTAGTTATGTTGTGTAATTAAGGTCAAAATAAAGGAACACTGTAAAACATTGAAAAAAAATTAAAAATGCTACAGTAAACACTCGTTAACTAGTTGACAATAAATTTCCTTACTATGTACAGTGATAAATAAAACTAGAATAAATCTAACAGGACATTTCATGTCATTTTACAGTAAATTACTGTTAAATGTACAGTTTTTTAAAAGTGGAAAAGAAGTCAAATGTAAATTATACATTGGGATTTTGTTTATTATACATCATTTTAGTGTCATGTGTTTTGCATTTGTCTGCATGACACTGTTCACTCACTTTTTTTTTTCTTTTTTTTTTTTACTGTAAATCAAAGTTTAGTCCATAAAACCTAAAATGTTGCTACCGTAACCGCAACAACAGCTCTCAGTTTTTTACCATAAATTTCATGGAATTTTTAAGAAAAGACTAGCACTGTGTATTCTTTTTTTTTTATATATATATACTGTATCAGTTGTGTTAAAAAAACAAGTTTCTTTAAAATGGGATTAAAATAAAAAACTAAGTCTGTCAAACAAACAAAAAGAAAGAGAGAAAGAAAGAAAGAAAGTAAGATTTCCTTTGATCCAGCATCTCGTCCTGCTTGTTTGATGTCTGCTAATTTGTTCTGAAATCTGAACACGTTACTCCCGGGGGACCCCTGCACTGTTTGAAGTGCCCTAATCTGCGGCACGGGACCGAGGTTCATCATCTTCAGGGGGACCCT